CCCCTGCCCAGCTGACTGGTGCACATCTCTGCTCAGCTCTCTCAATAGCTGCAACATCACAGTGATTTTCCTTTGGCACCGGCAGTGGGCAGGGCTGGGAAGGGCATGAAGATAATTCTTAGCTCAACAGTGCTTACTCCCTACGTTTTATTTAAATGTTGACTTCTAGAAGGAGCCTGCTTTCCTAGGGGTGTAATGCAGCACCTCTGCTCTGGAGACAGGCTGAGAGAGTTGGGGCTGTTCAGCCTGGAGAAGAGAAGGCTCCGGGGAGACCTTCCAGCACCTTCCAGTACCTAAAGGAGCTACAAGAAAGCTGGAGAGGGGCTTTGGACATGGGTGTGCCGTGATAGGATAAGGGACAATGGCTTTAAACTGAAAGAGGGGAGATTTTGATTAGAGATAAGGAAGAAATTCTTCCCTCTGAGGGTGGTGAGGCACTGGAACAGGTTGCCCAGAGAAGTTGTAGATGCCCCATCCCTAGAGGTGTTCAAGGCCAGGTTGGATGAGGCTTTGAGCAACCTGGTGTAGTGGAAGGTGTCCCTGCCCATGGTGGGGCAGGGGTGGGATTGGAACTGGATGATCATTGAGGTCCCTTTCCACCCAAACCAGTCTGTGGTTCTAGAATGTTGCTGGAGTGCCCCTGTAAAACTAACAGACACGTTTTATCCTGGCAGAGGAGAGTTGTCAGGTCTCAGGTGTTACATTTGGCTGAGGTGATGTGTGTAAGACTCAGTGTGTTCAGTGTAAGACTTTGCAGTTCCAGCCTGTCTCTTCGCTGTCAGTAATTCCTGCTCCTTTCCTTTCTTTCTCCAGATGTGTTTTCCCTGAAGAGAAGAGCCTTCATTAGAATTTCCAGGCATTCTTACAGCAATAGCTTGAACACTGTCAGCTTTGGGCTTTCTTAAGTTATGGTTTTATAATTTTCATTACGGAACCTTGTCCCCTTATTTCCTCAATGCTTCTGTCCTTTGTTTATTTCCTGTGTAGATTCTGTTTGTTTCTGGAGGAGAGCTCATCGCAGCACACACACTTCTAGACTTTCTTCAGTTAGCACCACCTGGGAGATAAAAAGCAAATTTGAGTACAGGATCTGATGTGCTGGGGAGAATCCAGTCGCATGCTTCCTTCCTAATGCATGGTAACGCTGGCACGAGTTTCTGTCTTGGATACTGACAGTGGAGTTGCTTCCTCCAGCCTTTCTGCTCCCTCAGCAGATGTGTTGCTTACTGGTGAAATGAAGTGGACACCACTAGATTTTGGGGGTCGCTCAGGTCTTGAGCTGTGCTGCAGAGGATGGGTCTGTTCAGCTTTATGCAGTCTTTTTTTTTATGGGGTAAATGTTTTTGTTTTTTTTTTTTTCAGTAGTATTTAAAAACATTTGGTGCTGGTGGTCTTGGTGCATTCATTGCCGGCAATGGACTTTTAACCAGGAAAATCTTCCTGGAATGGGGTTAATTTGGAACGTGATCGGCCCTAACTGTGGTTTGTCACCGTGCAGGGATGCAATTAACTCGGATCAGGTAAAAAAAAAAAAAAAATCAAAACTGTCAGGAAAGCCCATGGTTGCCTGGAACGAGGTGTAACTGTCAGCCCTGTCATGCCAGTGTTTGCTGGTGCTTGCTGGGCTGGGAAACGCCAACTCCTTGCATCAAGGGGGAGGTTTGGAAAAGGAAGTTAACTCCTTCCAGATGCTGCCTTTAAGAGCTCCAGTTGGGATTTGCCTCGCACTGAGCAGCCGGTGCTGCGTTCCTTAGTGGATTGGGAGCGGAGCCCTCCGC